ATTATCAGCAATCAGTATTTATTTTCAAAGCGCATTTTATAAAAATCATAGCCCGAAAGATTAATTTCATCAAAGATTCAATTTCCGTGTTAAAAATAAATTGTAAACTTTATTATCAGCAATCAGTATTTATTTTCAAAGCGCATTTTATAAAAATCATAGCCCGAAAGATTAATTTCATCAAAGATTCAATTTCCGTGTTAAAAATAAATTGTAAACTTTATTATCAGCAATCAGTATTTATTTTCAAAGCGCATTTTATAAAAATCATAGCCCGAAAGATTAATTTCATCAAAGATTCAATTTCCGTGTTAAAAATAAATTGTAAACTTTATTATCAGCAATCAGTATCTATTTTTTACAAAGCATGCTTACTCGTTGCAGACCACATTAAATAATATAGTTATGCGAAGATATAGAAATAGTAATATTATCTGCCTCGTTAGAAAATTCTAAAGCGATCGGCGATAAAGAAGCTATTGTCGGAATTTTTATTGTTTTTATTATTGCGTGTGCTTTATAAGTGCACGAAATCTTCGGCTGTCCTTGCTGTCATGCAGTGATAAACAACGAGCATTCGAGAGTTTCATCGCGATACGTTTTAGTTGTTTCTATTTCACGCATCCCGTCGTCGGTGCAACTATCTGAACGATAAATCTACGCGAGCCTGGTATATAGCGGTAGATTGTATATACGTTTAATTATATAAGCTGTGTATAAAAACAGGACTGACATGCAATTATCCAGGAATTGCTAAGCATTCGCTTGAAAAGTACCAACGAAAATATTGCTCGTTTCATCGATCGTTTAAACGATGCAGGTTTAATAAATGTAACAGCTTGGTTACGGACGCACGCCACGTTAACACGCGCTACATAAATCGACTGAACATAAACATGAACATGAAACATGAATAAAAACTACAGTAAATTCTCTCCGATTGTCCCTCAGCTTGTGAACAAAAATGGACAATTTCGGAAGAGGCGATACGATTATTCGAGCCTCGGGGGCTCGTTTTTATAGTCGCTGACAACACTGTCTGACACGATTTTTGGGTTCCTATAGCCACTATGAAATTCTTGTAGAGCTTCACTCCCTGAACAAGAATCCGAAAACCGAATTGCTCCATCACCCTCAGTTTTTTAAATAAACGAACTTTTGTAAAAACCCAAAATTTTCGACAAAAATGAGGTATCGCGTGAAAAGTACAAACGCTAGAAAGTTCTAATCAGTCTCAAAAGATAGAGGAAAGTTTTTCGAATATAGTGGCATGCAATTTATTAATTGTTTTTGATCCTAAATAGCAATAAATTAATGTCAATGTTTAAAAAAGTGTCGACGTGAGCAGTTTCTGCGCAATATTTTTGTATTTTTACGAAAAGTTTTTTGTTCGACACGAAAACTCTACCCAGGATCGGATTCTGTAGACATTTCTCGTTCGTTTATTTAAAAAACTGAGGGTGATGGAGCGATTCGGTTTTCGGATTCTTTCGGTCTTGAATTTCATAGTGGCTATAGGAACCCAGAAAAAAAGTTTGATTTTGTCGGACAGTGCAATCGGCGACTATGGAAGCTAAAAAAGTATCATCGCGTCTTCTCTTCCCAAATTGTTTATTTTTGTTTCCAACCTGAGGGACAATTGGAGAGAATTTACTGTACTCGGGCGTTCGCTTGGACTAATACACGTAGAAGATGAGAAACCAGTGCATTAAAGTGATATTCTAGCGTGAAAAGCGTTTGTTTTTAACTTTGTTAGGGAGATTTTTGCAATGAAACTATTATACTTTTCGCAGACAAATTGACAAGGTTTATTTGGACGTGTTTCAACGACGCTTTAAAATTTTTTGGTACAAAAAGGAGATGAAATTGGTGGCACTGCATACTCTGGAACATAGTCGCTTGTGAAAAAATGTCGTCTCGCGGTATCCATGATTCCGGCCATTTTGCTTGTCCGAAATGAAGAAACGTGAAGGTTCCTTAATTAATATGAATTTGGCTATAGCAGGTACTACAACAAAAGAGAGAAGTTGGTAATTAAAAAGGTGGCGATACGTATTTTGAAATTCGATTATCGATTTTTGCATGTTTCGTTAAACATCGGAAGTCTAGAAAATAGAAAAAAAATAAAAATTTTTTTGTTGATTTTAGTAAGGACTGTGGTCGAACATGAACTAAATGCGTACTTTAAATTTTGAATCAATCGGTCAAGTAGGTTTTGAGATATCATGGACACCGTTCTGAAAAATATAGTTTCGAAAAAATACCTTCAGAGTTTAGTATATTGATAATGATATAAGGTTATCACTTCGTTCGAATAACCATAACTTCTTTAGGAGTTCACATGTAAGGTTCCAAAGATCTATTTTTGAAACGATATCTTTTAAGAATATGCAAAAAAATAATTGAATTAATTTCAAAAGTTTGCACTAGAATACACCCCTATAAAAATTGCACGATTGATTCCTAAGAATTTTCAACGATCGTTTTATAAATAAATAAATAATAGAATAATATAAATATAAATAATATATAATAATATATAAATAATAAATAATAAAAATACACATTTAACGCGTTCACGGAAAAGAATGAAAGTCATCTGACGACCAGAATTTCGTTCGTGTAGAAAATTCGAAGAAAATGGCACCAAAAAATATGAAATGATTAAACAACAATCAATATTCTCTTGATGCTACAGTCTATACATAACGCATTCCAACAAAAATATAATTTACCGGGATAAAACTTCATCGATTTCATTTTTGTAGATATACCGTGAAACATTTGATTGCTTTTTGTTTCGATTGTAACATGCGTTTGTTTAAAATATGACATTGCAACCGAAGCATAATTTGTTGATTGAAAGTTTGCTATTTCTGAGCTGCATATCAGGCTTAACTAGACGGTCAATTTTATTTAAATAAACAACTGGTCTCAAAAATTTCAATGATATCAAGAACGACATTAGTTACGAAACGATTGATTTATTTATGCTTGATGTATTTATTGCGTACAGTGCTGAAACGAAAATAGTGAAGAACTTCGAATATTTTAGTCGATGTTCAAGTTACAGAACAGATCTGGGAAAATTTTATGAATGAAAATAAAAACTAGCTATTGAAAATAATTCATTTCGAACAGTTATTTTCATTGCCGTTATTCGAAAATAAAAATAATATCGACCCATTTAAAATAACAGAATTATATGTAATATGAATTATTTCGTTATCTTTTTTCAAAAGCGACAGAGGAAATAATCTGCAAAATAATATGTAACAGAAAAGATTTTATTTTAAGGAACCTTTACATCAGTTTGCTTTAAACAACACACACACACACACACTCTCTCTCTCTCTCTCTCTCTCTCTCTCTATTTTCATAAAGATATTATCCTTGAAATAATATTCAACAAGGTT